ACTAGATCTGCATGTGTAGAGGTCTTCTCAGGTTTGAACCCTGAACTGATGCCCATTAACCTTAGCCACAGCATGTGTCTAAGGAAAAAAAGCATAGCAAAAAGCAAAGTGCACTGCTTACATATTGCCCCATAGTGCTTCAAACACTATGAGAAATAGAGACACATACAGTATTCTCCTCCCTTGGGAATCACCAACTGCTGAGCCAGCCCAAAATGAACTTGCCATTTATAAACGAATCAACTTTCCTTTCCAGTCTAAAAAAACCAGGGGCGGGGCAGCACACACACTTAATGTAGATATCTAACTAGAGAGAAAATCCTAAACATTTAACAGCCGGGCCTAGTGAATATTTCTTGTTTTCTGCTGGCATGGGTGGAAATGTTTCAAGCAGTCCAGGAGATTCAGAAAGACTAGGTGTCTCTGAATCAAGTTCTCTTTGGCCCATGTGATCTGAAGCATCACTCTTACCGGTATTTGGAGCATAAAATTATTTCATTTCTGCCTAACTGTCACATCCAAGTAACCTTGTGCAAGTAAAATAGAACTTGAGTAACATGAAGCGAAGAGTTTGTTTCCTCCTCCCTTAACTCGATATGACAATGCACATGAATGCACATTAATGCCATAGTTCCTAACAGAGATCACGCATTTAGGGCAGTTGGCCATTCCTTTAAACCAGCAATTTTCAACAAGGGTGTCTGCAGAATTTCTCTTGGAGCAGGGGATCTGCATAGTGGTATGTTAACATAATTTGCCCAAAAACTCTGATGTGTTCATCTGTGTGTGCATTAAAACAATGAATACAGGTTGTAGCTGGGTGGACCTCCCAACAACCATGGTTCTCTACTTCTTGCATGACACATTTCCCAGATCCTGTCAAAGAACTGTAATGGAAACCAAAAGCCCACTCCAAAAAGAAAAGCGTTCATTTCATTACAGTCTTTGGGTCTGGCAAGAACCTTAATTTGGCCCCAGCACTCTTGGGGTCACTCACACATGCACCCTACACCTCAAGCTATTTCAGGAAGAAAAACTGGATCAGGAAGTATGGAGCATGAGAGTAATGTTCTCAATACACCAGGTGGCTCCCCACACTCCAAATTTGTAATTGTTTTACCTTCTCACTACTTTAGAACTGTGAAGAATCCCCACCCTATGTACTGATTTTGGAAGCACAGCAGAACTGGACATGGTTAGTATGGGGATGAGAGGCCATCAGGGAATACAAAGGATGATCAATGTAGCACAAGGAAAGAATCCTTCCCAACACCCAAGACTGCCACGGCTGCTAGTCTAACAATACTGTAGCTTCCTTTGCTCCTAAATTGGGCTAGAGGTCTTTACCAGACATATCATTTCATGAACAGTCCCATAATCATTCCGATGTGGTTTAAACACGGCCCTTCCAAAAAAATGAAGTTGCAGATCTCTTTAGATTACACTCAACAGGCAGGAAAAAAGAGTCTCCTGGAAATGGTTCATACATCTCTTTCCACATCTATTGACTTCCTTATTTACTTACTCACAGATTGAAGTATGAACTAATTCAGCTCAGTCTGGGGAAATTAAATAGGAAAAGGCAATCTGCAATGGTTTGTGTGAAAAAGCCAAACACACAGGAGACCTGGCCCTTAAGTACATAAAGCAGTTTGTTATAGACATCAGCACTTTTAATGATGCCTAGACAACTACAGGTGCTGGCGTGGATGTTCTCATTGATGTCTATGATATTTATGGCATGGAAAAACTGGGGTCGATTAAGACAAACCAGACACACAAGTGTGTAAAATTCCCTTGCTACAAGAAATGAAAACACACTTCTCCAGCCATTTCCTATGTGGCTTTTGTTCAGGTTGAGATACAAATTCTATGTATATTAAGCAATCACTTAAAAATATTATCTTATGTAAGTGTAAGATTGAGGATAGTGTCGGAGATCAAAATATATCTCAAGCATTCCTGAAAAGTCTCCAGAAAATAAAGAGGGGCAAATAAAGTTATGACTGTTATTCTGCTAAATACAAACAGGCATATATATCCTCATGATTAATGGAGGTTCTTTCTTTTATCAGGAAGAACGTGAAGATAATGTTTAACATATACTTTCTGGACGTTAAGTCTATATATGGCTGCAAGCGTAATCCTCAAGATAAACTGAAAATGCATATGGTGCATTAACAGAGGAAAAGCCAGTTCCTAATTTGGAGCATAAAATGTAAGACTACAGGAATGATACTCTGTGCATAACTCAGCTAGGTATCTAACTGTGCATAACTGATAACTCTGCAGTTATGGCAGCAGTCCCTTTCATGCTGCAGTTTGCTACATACACACATATTAAAAACAATATAAAAACTGGAAGGGAAAAGCAAAAATGAGCATCTCCCTTCTAGGCAGCCAGTTACTAAGAAAGAGCCTGTCTAAAGAGATTTTTACCTGCTTACGGTAAAAAGAGGGGGCCAGCCTGGCCTCCCATGCAAGGCAGTTCCATTGCTTGGGAGCAGCAATAGAGAAACCCATCTCTTGTGTCTTCATTAAATGTACCTGTGAGGGTGCTGATGTGGAGAGGATCCCATCACCACCACTGATTTTTAAAACCAAGGTAGGTCTCAAATCATTTGAGGGCTTTATAAGTATACCCTGGCATTTGGCTAAAAATGGCACCCAAAGCAAGCAAGCTATCCAAGAAAAAGGAAGCAGTAGTCCTCTCTGGAAGACTTTGTTGTGACCCAGACTATTTATTTGTCAATCCTCTGACATCAGGGATAAGCAGTGAAATGGACTAATTTGTAGATGATGCCATGTTATACACGGAACTACCGGACAGCTCAGTGGTTTAGGCCTCTGGTTGTAGAGCGAGAGCTTGGGCATTCAATTCTCCACCATGCTTCCTTGACAGGAGCAGGACCTGACGATCCAGTTCTGTAATTCCAAGATGATGAGGATGATGGATATTCAAGACAGGGGACAAAAAAAAACTTGCAAAGAAGCTCAACAGGAGCACCACAAAATGGATGAATAGGGAACCAAGTACCAAATGAGGCTCAAGGTTAAATAACTATAAAGTGGTATGAGCACAAGCATGGGTATCCTAACTTCATTTATACAGGGATGGGATCTGAAGTGTTAGTGGCTGACCAGGAAAGGGACCCTGGAGCTCAGGGAATATGTTGGCTAGTGTAGTGCATTGCTGAACACAGGTAATTTGAATAGTGGCTAATTTTTTTAGGAAAGAGATTTAAAAGAAAACAGATTTAAATATTAAAATATTTAATTTAAAAACTTTGCTGAAGGCACATTTGGAGCACTGTGTCTAGGGTATGCTACAGCTCTTGAAAAGGTTACTGTAGGGATGAATGAAACACAAAGAAGGACATCAAAATGGTGCCGAGGCTAGAGGACCTTGCCTTCCAATAAGGCTAGGGTGTACAGAGTTTTCCACAAAAGAGAAGACGGTACATTTGGCAAACATTTACAAAACTAAACCTGGAATGGAAGAGAGGAGACATTCTTCTCTTCTCATAAACTGGCCTCGGCTTTACTCATACTTAGAGCAGAGGTACTGAACGTGACAGGACTAAAGTTACCTACTAATTTAAGTCCCTTGGTTTTTAATGGGTTTACTCTAAGAATGAATAAATCTAGGTCCATCTATAATGGAGAACTCAGGAAAGAAAATGGATTTGTTTAGCACAGACTAAAAAAAACTTCATTCTTGCAGGGTTTGGCTATGGCTGCAGACTTCAATAGATTTAAAAGGGTATTAGATCAATTTTCTAGGTATTTGTTCAAATAAACAATCATTTGTGGGCTGGGGAGGACAAAGGAAAAGAAGAATGGTGCCTTGACACCCTCCCTGGCATTCTGCAAAGAGCTGGCTGGCCAGGGTTTGGGGCAGGGTGTCAGCTAGAGAGTAATTAGAAGGCTGGGCCCTTCTTATGTGGCAGTCAACAAACAGAGAAGCCCTATGTCCTCTCCTTTCCTCTGCCAGGGTCATTCCACCTGTTTTAAGACTAAAACACTCATAATCACTTATCATTTTGCAACGCCAGCTACAGCTGATGGGATATGAAATATCTGGGAGAAAAGCAAAGGCAAAAGGCTCTGTATTAGGAGCTTACCAGGCCACACTAGCTTATTTATAATGATGGAAATATTTGGGAAGTAAAGTAACAATGAAACTGAGAATATGAACACAGTATGGCCGGCACTGCACACTAGACTTGTTAACATACGCTATCTGGTTTAGTGCTGCAGCACTAAAATGGACACCTGCTCAATATTCAAAACGATCCCAGGCACTTACTTCTGCAGAGGAGTAAAAATTTATTTTATACATTATTCTGATTTAGAGATGCCATAATTTACATGGACAAACCACGTACTAAAGTCTGGAAGACCAAGTCACCATCCATTTGTTTTGGGATGGCAAAAATAACTGCTCTCCTAGTTGCCCCGTTACTGTTTCCTGGCTGAATGACAAAATAAGCAGTGGCAGATCCCCCCCCCNGAACAGAACACAGCAATAGATAACAAAAATATGAGAAATATGGTTGGGGGGGGGGACCATGACACTTCTCTACATTTATGAAAGCATAAAATACACCTGGGGAGGCATACCTGGGAGTGGCAAAGCTCCTTGATTTGCAGGACGCTGTTGCACAAAAGGACTCCCTAGATCTGAATATTTCAGGCTCAAAATATGGTAGGTTATAACCTGTCATTAAGAATTCCCATCAAGTCCAGGTAGTATCAAGAATTTAGAATGTAATGCTATAGCTTCCCAAACCTTGAAAAAAAAAATCTCAAGAACAGGCGCATCACAATCAGTAGGTAAGAGTATCTCCCTCTCTTTTTAAAATCTCCCTTTGAAGTAGGAAGGCACCAATCCAAGCGAGGCCTGCAATATTTGCTTGTCATTCTAAAACCAGCAAAGCTGTTGCTTGGACAGTGTAAGCTACTGACAGGGTCCACAACAGCGAGACTACAGGCAACCATTCTGATTTGTTCAGTTTATTCCACCCTGCGTCATTTAATGGTGTGAGAAACAGTTAACATAAACAGATACTAGTCCCTTGATTAAAATGTTTCAAGGCGGATATTTAGGTACTTGCTTTTTTTTAAAGTTCACTGATAATATTTGTAGATGCTCTTCTCTCAGGTCCACTGTTCGTGCCTTTCCAACTTTGTACCAAATACAACTTTTTTCATTAAAAATCAGTATATTTCCCATCCAAAAAGAGCACCACCATCCAATAAAGGCAAATGTGAGATGAACACGCCCATCTGCCCCCTTGTCAAAGACTTGAGCTTATGATCATTTGTGCCAAGAAGGAATCAGGCCACTCAAAAGATGTCCAGCTCATCAATCACCTCCATTGGTTTTCAGGTTCCTGTAGGGGCTAACATGCCTGTGTACCAAAGGACCTCTTCCCGCTCTGGGCATTAGACTTTAAAGACGCCAGCAAGCCTCTGATGTTTTCTATGGCTTGGATCTTATTTGTTTTAACCTGCTTGTGACCATTTTTTTTAACTGCTGGGGTATGAAGAAGAGCTGCCAGCCCCCAGGGCTGAGACCTGTTTGATGAAGGATCATTCAGTTCCTGATGCAGAAGCCAGGCACTGTCCTGGGCCAACGTGACAAATCTTTCAAGTTGTGCTGCACTGACATTCTTGCTGACATTCAGGTTACTTTCAAAGGGATTCTGTATGTGGAGTGCAGCTGCTTCAGGTTTGTTCTGTTCTTTGCCCTGCAAGATCATAAAGGGTTTGGAGCAAAAAGTCATTTCTTATGTGCCTTGTACATTATGAGCATGCCATGATGTGGGCATAAATGAGCACAAATCAACAAAAACCCAAATACAGAATGGGTCCTATAGCCTGTTCCATAAGCTAACATTCAATAGCAAGCTAATATTGCACACTATGCCTACCACAAGGGCTTTACATGGAAGTCAAGATTGTTTGGGAGCAGGGAGAGGTAAAACTAAACTAAAAAGTCCATGAGCAGAAAAAAAGAGGCAAGAGCACAAAAACAGACATTTGCACCCTATGAGAGCTGAGAGGGATGTACATTTTATAATAGGGATTGGCTAAATGTGGCTTCCAAATGTTGCTAGACTACAACTCTATCAGACCCACTGGTGAACTATGATAGAAGCTGAAGTGCATCAACATCTAAAGGGCCATAAATGCTGCACTCTTGATTCATATAGCCATCCCCCCCTTCTGCTGCATTCCCTATTGTGCATAAAGAAGCCCAGTGAACTGGCAACATACAGAACATGAGGATTGGCCTTAGACGCTTTCATCTCAGGAGACAGCCAACAACATCATTTCATCAATACGAGGGAACAAGCAAAGTTTTAAAAAGGTACTGTTCCACGCCTAATCACAAATGGCACAATCCATAAGCAAGTGGATAAAAGGATGAAATACTTTTACCTTTCGGATATTCAGTGAATACTTATTGAAATCAAACTTCCCGTAGAATTGGAAGAATTCAAGTAGAAGCACATCTAGAGGGGAAAAGGCAGTAAATTTAAAAAGAACTAAACCAAAGTTGCCATTTGACGTGTAAAAATATTTATAACAGGGCTTCTTACCCAGTGTTTCAGTGTTTTTTGTGGGCTCAATTTTATTCAAATTACTAACAAATGTACAGTCATAACCTTCAATTATTTGCTTATCTTCTGCATCTGGAAAAAAAACCCACCATCATTAAAATCATAACATAAAGATACTGGGTAAGGCATAATTTTACATAAGCATAATTCAGCCAATACAGAAAGAAGTTATCATTCATGGGAAATATTATAGTACCAACAGTTATGCATCAAAAAAGTTCAGGCTTAGTAAAACTGCCATTAAATGCCTGAAGGACTAAATATAAATGGCCTAAACCCAGCCTTTCAGACATACTGGACTTGAACCTCCATCATCCCCAACTAGCTAATTGAATAGATAGGCTGCTTGAGGGCAATGAGGATCTTAATCCATCTCACAGGGAGGATAAACAGGCTTGGAGAAGCCTGCTTTAGATCTTTCTCTTGGACTTTCCTCTTGAAACCCTGAGTCAGAAAATACTGAAGAATTCCAGCACAATTTTCCAAGTTGAAATGTAAATTAACAATAAGGACTTGCACACTACCTTTACTGTTTTATTCTAATAAACAATTATATGATCCATTCTTGAAGTTCAGAATACAGAACCCTTTCACTAGGAAATTCTCATGCACTACAACACATTGGGCAGCTTCAGCAGGTCCCAAAGCCATCACCCCCATCTGCTACAGGCTTCAATCCTTGCAGAGGTGGCCAGGCACAGCTAGCACTTTAGAACAGGATATCTCCAGACTGCTTTGTGCTGCTATCCATGACTGGCATGCAGAGCATTCGAGAATCATCCAGAGTTTTCATGCTCAGCGGCTGAAGTCCTCTTCAAGTTGCCATAATACCTGCAGAAGTGTGCTGGGCCTTATGCCCAGGCAGCTTGCACTGCACAGTTGATTTGTGGTCTGTGTTGCATTTGTGCAATTGATTGTGTAGTTGATGTTGCAGTTGCACAATCGGTCGTGTGATCTGCATGAAGATTGTTGTGCAACATGCCTATGGGAGTACTTTGTGGATATGATTTCCGTCCCACTAGAATTTTTCCTACTGCTTCTGCAGCGTCGTATTATGCACATATTACTATGCAACAGGGTATCAGCCATTACATTCATGCAAGTTCCATGGAAATTGTACCACACGTGCATACCAGAAAATATCTTGTCTTTAGAAAGTGCACTTTAAATGCTCGAAGTATAGATCAGAAGCCACACTACTGCTTACAAAAGCCCGAATATGGTAGGTGCAAGAGTGTTGAGGTGGAAATCCTATCTGACACATGACCAATTGTGCAAATGAATAGCGTACTTTCTCATCATTGAGAATGCCCTACACATTTACATTAAGGTGAGGATGAACAGGATTCTGTCCAAAGAAGTCCTATCTGACACGTGACCAATTGTGCAAATGAATAGTGTACTTTCTCATCATTGGGAATAATGCCCTACACATTTACATGAATGTGAGGATGAACAGGATTCTGTCCAAAGAATAATCTCTACATACCCATAAATCCCCCTGTGCAAAATGGATGTCTCTCTTACCAGCCAGACCTTTCAGCTGATCCAAGGTTGGAATGATGCAAGGCTTTCTTTTTTGCAGGAAAAACAGGACCATAAGAGTTAGAGCGAAATTGGTAACCCAGTGGCCAGGAATGATATTTGTAATTCCATGGACCCGTGCCCAGCACCGTACACTGAACACAAGCACTCTTACGCGTGGGTCAAGACTTCCATACAGGTATAGGAGTTCGGAACTTTTAAAGGCAATTCTGTAGGAACAGAAGAGGGCTCAAAACATATAGGGAAGGCATTACAAAACCCTGACAACTGAGACCATGATAATGCAATGCAGTAAAATGGCTTCAACAGTATTTTAGCTTTTGCATGTTAAACCGAGTTGCATAGAGACCACACCTGAACATGTTAAACTGCAATTTCCAAATGGCAGAAAACACAGGGGGAAATAAAGAAATTCAAGGAGAGTTACAAATCAACCCTCTCTGACCTCTGAACTGCCAATGGTATCTTTAAAAGCAACTGGAATAGCTGGATTTTGCACATCACATGATTCATGTGTTTCTGTTTTTCAGTATCTCCACCCCACCCTGGTGCAGCATCTTTAATCTGGCAGAGATCTGATATCCCTTAGGAATGGCTCACAATAAGCTCATGTGAAAAGAGCCAGGGTCAGACTGGCATGGTAGAAAAACAAGGGTTTCTTGTTGAGAGTCTTGCTAGAAGCCAAAGAAAGACTAGGCACAGAAATTAACTCTCATGCCTACAGCTGTTTCCTTCAGGTCAACGTTGTGAGGAATAGAGCAGCCAAGGTTAGTTTTTTGCATAGTGGATGAGGCTGGTATAGTGAATCAATTTCAGGATTCCATTCTGAGGAATTAATTCAAAGGTCTCAAATAACGTTTTTATTTGCTAATCCTGAAAAGCTAACTCCACCTACTGGCCACTCTGGTAAAAATTACAAAATTTTCCTTGCTAACCCAACCCTAGAGCTCAGTTGGACACTCTCAACTAATCTAAGGAACAAACATCAAATAATTAATTTAGCACAGGGTGGGTTGAGTAAAAGCCCACAGAAACCCTGGCATGCTCCTATTTCCTTGCTAACCCAACCTTAGAGCTCAGTTGGACACTCTCATCTAATCTAAGTAACAAACAGCAAATAATTAATTCAGCTCAGGGTGGATTGAGTAAAAGCAGATTGATTTAAATTGTGATTTAAATTCAAAAAGTTAGATTTTTTTAGACAATTAAAATTTTAAAAAATTTAAATCAATTTTTTAAAAAATCATTGAATTATATCCACCTTGATTCAATATCTGCCAAACTATACCTAACACCAAAGGACAATGTTGTATAATTCGTAAGACTGAGCACAAATACAGCTGGATACAAACTATGGTTCAATGTCTGCAATTTATTGTTCCTACTATTCAATTATACCTTTGTATCATGCATTTCAAAATGAGGTTTGCCTTAATTCACATGCAAACTGGACTCAGGCAATTGAGAGATGAAGCCTCAGATAAGCTTCAGTTACAAAAACACGCGAAGTACTCCTTTTTTTCTGAAAAGTGAATATGGACAGACCATTCCTGCAGGATCCCATGGTTAAAAACAACCACACGGAGAACGCTGCTAGATGGAAAACTGGGTGGCAAGTTGGATAACCCACTACAGCCAATGAAGAGAAGTCGGAAAAATTAGGTTTTTGGACCACAACTCCCAGAAACCATTAGAGGTAAGCCTCTAATAAAGTCTAATAGGCAGCAAAACTACAGCTCCCACTGAAATCTATGTCTCCCAGCATTGTGGCAGCTTCGTTTTTTCTGCAGGAAGTAGGCCTGAGACAGCCAGAAGGATTGGCTCCTGTTCCAGTTGTGTAAAATGTAGGTGTCCCTAAGCAGGAATTTCTAGAATTCTGTCTTGGAGAATTTTGGGAGTTGGGGCCCCCAACACACACAAAAAGCCCACAGAAACCCTGGCATGCTCCTAATCTCCATACATGTAAGACTTTTCTTTATCCATGTAGGTCACTGCAGCATGGGTAAAATTTGGACAAGTTACTTTTTGGACTAAAGGCTGAAGAATCCCCTGGCCAACATAACCATTGGTCATTCTGGGCACTTATGTCAAAAAGTAACTTTTAGAAGCTCTACAAATTATCCCATATGCAGAAATGACCCATGTGAATAAATATTACATCTGTGCTATTACAGAGCAGGGATTTTACTATACTATAGGGAGGAAGTATTTTATGTGTTGCTGACATTGCCTGCTGCCTTGCTACAAATAATCCAGGAACCCATGGGTAGATCCTGACCTACTTTTTGCCCATTTCTGTTCTTGAGGACCAACGCACACTGTTGCCTTGTATCTTAATTTTCTGTTGCGTCCCCAAAACAAGATGGTGCAGTGTAGCATTGTAGTGAGGAACATGATTTAAAAAAATAAATTTGTAAAAGCTTACCTGTTGTTTGCTGTCAGGTCACACTGAAATCCTGAAGGCTGATGGGAAAATTTCACCAATGGGCAGCGGGCATGGAGAATCTTTTGCACACCGATACATCCAGGGCCACAGTTATCTATGAATTCAGCAACTGCTGAAAGTATCCTCTGTGTTGCTACTCTCTGATTGGGCACTCGCCTGATGAGATACTCAAGCTTAAAGGGACCTGTTTTCTAACACAAAATATGTAAAAGTCACAAATTAATGCATTAGTTCATAACTCTTGTATCTCCCCATATTAGCCTTCCTGGTGTTTAAGATCAGCAGAGGAGACCCTCCTCTTGGTCCCATTGCTAGCATAAGCACAGCTGATGGGTACACAGGAGAGGGCCTTCTCTGTGGCAGCTCCCCAGGCTACGGAACGCTCTCCCTCGGGAGATCAGGATGGGCCCTTCCCTTTTATCCTTCTGCTGACCGCTGAAGGCCCATCTTTTCAGGCAGAATTTAAAAATTGTGACTAAGTCCATGAATGCCTTTTAAAATTTGAGTTTTCAACGTTTACTTGCTTTTCAACTGTATTTTACCTGGCGTACAGTTTAATTGGTCGTTATTGTTTAACTTCTTATATTGTTAATTTTCCTCTTTCTAATATTATGAGCCGCCTTGGGTCCCCTTATAAATAAAAAACACAAATATGATAATAAATATAGTGTTTCCCCCCCCCAAAAAAAACAACTGACATGGGGGCTTTGAGGGAGAAGCCACTCCGACCTGGAGAAATGGCCCTCAGACAGTTTTCACTTCTTACACTGATATCCTGCTTTTTTGGCCAGTGTGCTCAAGATGGCACATGTGTCCCTCCTATTCCCCCCCCCCTCGTAACAACCGTGTGATACTGACCAGGTAGACAAAGAAAGCAATTGCCTCAAGGGCACTCATAGACACTACAGCAAGACAATATCTTGTGACAACCATCATTTTACTATTTTGAACTTTTTAATCGTATTAGTTACACATGCAGCCTTCTTCATGTATTGCTGTTTTCTACAACTCTTTTGCTGAGCTACTTGACTACAGTCATAGCTTTTAAAGGCATCTGTTTGTTTATTACATTTGAACCCTGCCTTTCTACTATACAATAGTGCTCAAGGTGGTTTACGATCTTCCTAAAATAATAATCCAAATTTAACCATACTGAACCCGAATTTAGTATCACAGTCCTACTACATCCTCAGAGATGGTGGGCACAGGTTTCACCTAGTTCCCAACCAACAGCTAAATGGAGGTGGGTTTTTCTTTCCAAACTGGAAAACCACAACACTGTTCGTGATTAGCATTTGCATTCACGAGAACAGGAGGACTGTGCATGTAGTTAATTTTTAAATTTTGAATTAAAATATAGGTGCTCAGAAACACATAGGCCAAGATCTCTGCACAACTCTGGAAGTATACTAAACTCCTGGGGACAGATTCTTGTCAAACACGTTTTTTTATAAGCACATAATCTCAGAGGGGCCTACAGAAACAGTGAATACCCACTTAATTCTAAATGCGGGCAGACAATTTGTGTGGGGTAGGGTCTTTTTTTCTGCAGTTGAACAATTGTTCAGTCTATCTTTTATTCATTGACTACAACACCCGTCAATCCATAATGGAAAAGACAGAGCTCATAAAGCATGTATATGGGTGTGCGTGTATGTGCACAGATTATAATACATATGCATTACAGATGACAGATTCATAAAAGCATAATTTCATTTTCTTACATTTATATATTATTTTTCATTAAATAAAGTGCCTTGGTATTTAAAATGCCAACAATCCCATCTAACTTAATTATTAGTATAAATATCACCTTATGGTTATTGAAGATTATTTCATCCTCCTTTCGCAAATTTACTACAACTAAATTAATAAATTAAAATTTAAAAGCACACTAAATTTATTGTAGAATAAATTGAATATAGAATAAACTGAATGTAGAATAAATTTAAATCAGCCTTGAAAACCATGTTTTAAATATGGACACTGTAGAAAAGGAAAAAGCAGCTGGTCAAATGATACAAGTTTGCAAAAAATATATAACAAAGAAAAGAAAGACTGATTACAAAGCAAGAGAAATTTGGCATGAACCTTGTAACTGAGGATAATTAAAGGTTTCTTTTTCTAGTCAACATGAGAAACACTTTCAATAAACAATGTTCTCATAGAACCAAACAGTCCCTTTAGTGGTTTGTCACCAGATTTTTTGTCAGCCAGCCATGATTGGTCTTTCAAGATGAAATGGAAACAGGACGTGGTTGGCTCCACAATGTGTCATGCTGTACACAGTGGCCACATATTTAGAAGTGTGCATGTATAGCACAGGTTAAGTACAACATCTACCCAGGGATAAACATACTGCACCAGCAGCCATAACATTACAGATTTTGTCTACACAAATTACACAACCTTATCACAAAAGGTCATGTGTATAAATTGTGATTTTGTAGGACATACCCTCACCCTCTTAACAACAGCAGCAAGAAATGCAGGGGAGCCCAACAGAGACCGCTTCCTTGATTCACAAAATTTTTGCTGAGAGCGCTGGGTGATGCAATCATGTTTTACTCACGTAAACAGAGGCTGTGTGCTAGAAACCATTTCACCACAAGCGGGAAACTCCAAACTTTCACCATACCACTTTTTCCGCCCCCATCAAGCAATTTAGGTCAGTTTAAGTCTAGGTCTTAATGCAGCTCTCCTAGCCAACGGTACTGATGGAAGTGCATGTTTATATCACAGCATTTCTGGAGTGGCCATACTTTAAAGGTTTGCTTGCACCACTTTATGGTGACACACCTATGTATACATCTTACATTTATATCCTACTTTGGTGAGCATGGGCTCTTCTCCTCCCGACTTCATCCTCCCAAGAAAACTGCAAGGTAACTTATGCTCAGAAGGCATGCCAGGCTCAAGGCCACAGGGAGAGTTTCATAGTTCAGTGGGTAGCAGAACTTGCTTCTCCTTCTCAGCACCCCCCCCCCAGTACTACCAAAAATCCTGCCCACTGCCTCTCTCCTTGCTGCAGCCTTTCTCATCCCCATGCCCCAAGATCAACTCCTGAGGACTCTCTAAAGAAGAATCCAACACAGGTCCAAAGGCAGCACAAAAAGGTACCGTATTTTTCGCACCATAAGAGGCAGCACAAAAAGGTACCATATTTTTCGCACCATAAGACATACTTTTTTCCCACAAAACAGGGGGGTGGAAAGTCTGTGCGTCTTATGGAGCGAAGAAAACAGATTATATTTTCCTGTTTTCTTCTCCTAAAAAATTGGTGCGTCTTATGGAAAGGTGCGTCTTATGGAGCGAAAAATACGGTAAATGAGAAGAAGATAACCATGAACAAGGCTTTTTAAATTCTAGCCGTTTATTTTAGAACGTCACTTTCCTGCTGTAACTGCATCTGGTTCAGAATTATGAAGGACTTCCTTTCCCACATAAAGATGAGAAGAGGCAGATCAACAGAATTACTGGAAAGCTGTCAGGAGATGCAGCAACTACAAAGCAACACTGCCACCACAATGCTGTTTTGTCTGTTGACCATTAACTGAGAATCATTAACTGAGAATCATGTTTTTAGCCATTCATTAGCAATTACATGAGCCTCCAAATGCTGCTGAACTACAGCACCCATCATCCTTCATCCACAATGGCATTGGGCAGGATAAATGTAAAGTGCAGGTCAGTAACATCCAGAGGGGGCTTATGGTCCATCCCCATTACTCTTCTACAGTTTAGGTTAAAAGAGAACCCTTATCAAAAAGCCTTTACCTTTCTGTTCATGTTCTTGACTTCATCCAGGTCCAGGAGCATGTCCAAGTCACACCCAAGTTTGCCAAAGGTATTCACCGACGAACCAAAGGGCTTCACAGTGCAGTTTGGAAAATAAGCCTCTGTAATATCTTGAACTAAAGAACAAACTAAAAATCGGAGTCTGGTGTTCTCTTCTGTCAGCTGATACATCTCCGTGAGCATCAACAACTGGTCACTCACCTAGAGAACGAAAGGAGGGAGAAGGAGAGGGGAAAAGCCATCTCAGAAGATGCAGTTTTTAAACAATTCATATTTGAGATATTTAGATCTTTTGTAAGTACTATTAACACAACTGTATGTCTAAAAGACAGAGCTTCACAATGGGTGAAATCCTGTTGGCATAAATTTATACTGCATACACCAGGTGATGTCATCATCTGGCAACAGATATCTTTAATTTAATTCAACTGATGAAAACACCCTACCCCCACTTTAGGTTCCAAGGCCTCCTGGGGATCCCCTTTGCCCTTGAGTAGCCTCTGGGAGCCTCAGAATAAAGAGGGGAGTCCTTTAACAGAAAATCAATACCAGCACCCCTGCCCCTGGGTCAGGATTGTCACTAGTGATCTTCTCCCAACACGCTATAATGTTGGAAGATTGTTGTTGTTTAATCGTTAAGTCATGTCCGACTCTTCGTGACCCCATGGACCAGAGCATGCCAGCCCTTTTGACTTCCACTGCCTTCCGGAGTTTGGTCAAATTCATGTTGGTAGCTTCAATGACACTGTCCAACCATGTCATTTTCTGTCTTCTCCTTCTCCTCTTGCCTTCACACTTTCCCAACCTCAGGGTCTTAGATGCCTTCTTAAAATCTCCAGGGTTGCTTTAATAGTTTTCTTGAGTTATGCTGATTCCTTTAAAAATAGTACATTATAATCATTGTCTGCCATCAAGTCAGTTCTGCCTTATAGCAATCCTTTTCAAAGTTTTTGAGGTAGAGTATACAGGACTCGGAAGTGGTTTACCATTCCCTTTTTTGGGAGCATCCCTGGGACTGTGCAGCTTGCCCAAGGCTACACAGGGTGGCTCTTCTTCCAAAAGGCACAGTGGGGAATTGAACTCCCAGCCTCTGGCTCCACAGCCTAACTCATTTTAAAAATCTTTTAAAAAATAAAATAAAATCATAAACACATTTAAAAACATTATTTAAATATTCAAACAGCCCCACTCCCTTTTTTGGGAGCATCCCTTGGACTGTGCAGCTTGCCCAAGGCTACACAGGGTGGCTCTTCTTCCAAAAGGCACAGTGGGGAATTGAACTCCCAGCCTCTGGCTCCACAGCCTAACTCATTTTAAAAATCTTTTAAAAAATAAAATAAAATCATAAACACATTTAAAAACATTATTTAAATATTCAAACAGCCCCATGGTTCTTACATATTAAGTGTTCGCTGCCATCGAAACAAACTGTCTCGTAAAAATACCCAATTTCAAAGTCTGTCTTTAGGAGGTGGTTGCTCTAAAAGGGTCATGTAAGAAAATCTTCCAAATAGTCATGATTAACCTACTGAATTGGAGATTATTCACCTTCAAATCCCTGCACAAGTGTTTGTTTCTGTTATGGAATGCAAATCATTTATTTTCTGAAATAATTGCAAAACAAGTGTTCCATAACAAATCTCTCTCTCAAAAATGTACGGTATGGGCCTTCTAAAAACTAAATCTATTTCACCTAGTTGTGGAAAAAATGAATTAAAATTATAGCAAGCAAAAAAAAGACAAAAAAAGGCAATAATGATTTAAAGAAAATGGATAGGTTTTTTAAAAATGTGTAGGCTAATATCCAACATTAACAAAACAGAGGTCACTTGCTTTCACCTGATCAACGAACAAGCAATATACCAACAGTGGAATTTAGGAATCAGCTCCTAAAGTCCAACTGTATGCCAGCACCCTCAGCCACAACTCCTGGGTCCCTATAGTAGGCAAGGGGGAGGTACCTACAGGCAAGCTGGCTGATGAGAGCAATCTGCTAGGAGGACAAGGTGATGTGGAGAAAAGAGGAAGACCAAGAGGGCTCAGGGGCTTCCTTAAACAATACAGATGCAGAGATACAGCCCTCAGAAGAGAAGCTGTGGGAAGAGGCTGCCGAGGCTTGGCCCCCCGATTCTGCAACTTGGCTGAGATCGCAGCTGCCTGAGCAGAGGAGCCCTAGGCTGAAGTTCCCAAGCCCCACCTGTTGAGTACAGGAAGGAGCTACAGATGGACTCCAGCAGCAGGATATCAAGAGCCTACCATACCTCCATCATGACAATCCAGCTGCACTGCTAATGATGAAAGTGCCAAACTGAGACAGAAGAGGCTCCAAGAGGAGCGGGCATCAGCTTTCAGCCAGGACTTCTCCTCCCCTGTCACTATGCGAGACCTGGACTTTCAGGGTTCCCTCTGAGGGAACCCTCCAGAAAGGTCATTCCCTGGGCTTTAGTACAGGAAACTAAACCCTCCAGTAAGCTGCCACAGGGAGTTAAAAACAGTGTTCCCATCCGTTCCTCAGTCTCAATAAAGACATTTCTTGGTTATTTTCCCAACCTGGAACCCATGGAATTATTGCTGGGAGACCCAGCCACTACTCAGGATGGGACCAGCAGCACTCACATTTAGATTATGCTACAACCTTTTTGCTCTAACCTTCTTCAGCTATTTGTTTGTGCATTCTTCAGCCTCTATGAGGTTAAAAGGAAATGAGAGGTGAAATTGTGTGTCATCTGCATACAGAAGACACTGTAACCCAAATCTCCAGATAATTTGATCTTGATGTTAAACAAGATAGGGAACAGAGAAGAACTCTTATCATCCTGTAAAATGAAACAAGTGTCTTTTAACACCGCTGACAATCTCCAGCCAGAAAGAAGTGAACAAAACCATGCCTCCTACGTCCATGCAAGAAAAACGCAACAGGACCATGGTAGATGGTATGAGAAGTCTCTTTGCACTGACATGGATAGCACAGCTGAAGCTGGCAAGGTGAACGGTGTACTAAATACACCAAGAACATAAATTAATGCAGCAGTTTTCAAACCAGGTTCTAAGAATACAAAAGTCCCTCAGATATCTAACTGGTTCTTGGTGAGAAGGTATCTAAAATTCCATAATGTTCCTTGAAAGCTGTCCACTGCTACTATCCTTCTCTTGCAGTGGGTCAGACATGTTGTCATAGACTGCAAGACTGTGAAGTCCCAGTAGGTCTAGAGCCTGCCTTAGAGCCTAGAAATCTCTGCAAAGTACTAATGTCAATGAAAGAGAATTCCCGCACAGAAGGTAATCTGAAAACTACTGATGGAATTCCCATTTTTGAAAATGTTAAAACTCATTCTCTCTGAAATCTGAGTGAAGGTGTTTGTGTTGTATATAACGCATAGCGGCTGCCTGACTCTAAGAAGAGCACAAATGGAAACTTGAATCTTTTCATGCTATACAGTCATAAGGAAGTGCCAACACCATGTGGGGATGGGAAAACAGAAGTCTCTTTGCTGTAGGATAGAAGTACTTGCCACCTAGTGACCCCAAGAATCTGGTGAGCCCAGGTTTTAATCTGGCTACCTAGATAAGTCAAAACCTGTAGGCTTCTACATTACTCTACAGTCATTCCCCAAAGAATATTTATAAAAGTATTTAACTTATTATTTATTCAAGTTTTTTTATACTATTTTATTTCCAATAGTTTGAAAGCAGATAACATTGTTTCAATTTGAAAACCTAAAAAATGCAATAAAACCAAGCAAAATGAGAGAGAGGGGAAAAAACATTAAAATCACTAGGTATAACAGATGAGGTTAGCGACAGCTCAGACTAGGCAAACAGGTCTTCAACTTTCAAAGGAAAAATTTGACACTGGAACCCACTGATTTCAGTGGAGGTATGGTTCCATCTGGTGGAGAACACTATGGATTATTTAATCATTTACTGCATTAAGCCCATTTCGACTTTTAGCCCCTTTTCCAATGAGAGTTGCCGATCCATCCATCGTGTTTGCTACAATTTTTTCATTTCATATTCAACAGAAAAATAAAGCTACTCAAATCTTATAAAAGGAATAGGGAAGAAATACCATACATGAACGTACACTGTTAGCTTTACAAAGTTTTGTCACCAGATCTCCAACCGGCATGGCAGTTTGTGCACAACGGGGAACTGACAGCACTTCAGCATCATCATTTGGTGGATTTTTGTATGTCAGGGTAAAAATTCTAGATTTAAATGGAACAAAACCTTCATTCTCAAGCTGTGGGGTACGAATGCCATCCTGCATTGAAGCTATACTGTCTGCCTTTGAAAATTCTATGACTGCATACAGACCCTGAAAGAACAAAACAAGAAACAGTTACATGATGTACTAGAGATTGCATCTGAAAACATATGTGAAGCACTGAATTAAAAGAAACTCCAGCATGAATCAGAAACTGCTAGAAAAGGTTAAGAATGAACACAACCACATTTACAGAAGTCTTTGCCTTAAAAGAGGTCAGCACAGAATTCTCGGGATTCTCAGAGTAGTCAGGTTGTGTAGGTAAGCTCAGAAATAATGCGTCACTCAAGACACCCAGGCAGTTACATGACTGAGTGGGGACTTTCCCCAAGCATAAATGGTTCATATAATCCATTACATTGGCTTTTTTGAGATTGCCTGGATTGTGGCAAAACTTAGTGAAAAATAGTGTTAAAATATCCCAAATAAATAATATCCAAGGTAAGTATTTGAAACGATGCATGCAGAAAGGCCTCTCTAGCAGGAACATCTGACTCCTGTGTCAAAGAGAAGCTTTCCACAATAGCACTTTCATTCGAGATTAAGAAAGTAAAATTTTCTTCAAAATACTGTATACAGGGTGGAGTGGAGTAGGGTGGGGTGGGGAGAACCACTGTCATTAACACCTGGACAGTCATTACAATGACTATTTTACTCTGCAGCAGGAAGACAGCACCCATTTTAGAATTTTAAAAATAGATTGCTTGTTTGTACTACTCCTTGCTTTAGCCAAAGAACTTTACTTATGTTTGTGCTACAATATGATGCAGCAGAAAAGACTGCAAACTTATCTTCTCTTGATGCAACAGCAATTGTAGCCTATGAATAGTATTTTTGAACTGAAGGAATTTTCAACTGGAAGAACAAGTCAAATCATATACAAATTGTGTTTTATGTTGTGTGGATACTCTGAGCTTTAGGCAGGGTTCTGGGATTTAGGGATTGTTATGAGGGTGTGTGTGTGTTTGGTCTAGTCTCTGAGTGTTCTCTGAATTTTGTTATATGTGTATACGGTGTATATACATTCAATGACAATAAATTGATTCTAATTCAAATATACTTTGGAAAGATCTACGGCCAATCAACAGAGAAAATCCATTACACAGATTTAATTTTATACTGAGAAAGTGGAGAGATTATATTCTCTGTCATGATTTATCATTAACCTTTTAAGCACTTTCACACATAATTTTGGATGCCATACTATAAATAAAATTATGCCAAGATACTACAGCTGTGAAGTTAAGATAACTTTGCAAATTATCATTAGCACCATCATAATTACAGAAGCTTTTTGATTAACTAAGTCACCTGTGGCAACCCTGACTGAAATCCATTAGTAAGTTCCAACACAGTAGGTCCACTGAATCAATGAAGCCAGTAGAGTTACAACTTACTACTGTACTGGATTACAACCTAATGGGATGAGAAACTTACAATCAAACTGATCTGGGATCATTTCACCACCTTACAGGAAAAATATTCTCTGCATAACAGGATACAGTATACAAAAGTCTGCATAAGCCTAGACATGCAATATCCTTTCTATTTGAGTCATATACACTTTAGGCTTAGGTTTTAGTTGTTAATCCTTCAAAAACTTACATGAGTCTCATAAAAGAAGTGATCTTTTACATTTCCATGAGATGACAAGTATTTGAGAAGTTTTTTCTCACTGATTTTGAATGGGCAATTAATTAACACAGTCCTTTTTGCTTGTTCTTGTCTTTCTGCTAGGATCTCACTGTACGTTTTCTTTCTGATGCCAATCACAGTGTCTAGAAGTAAGGAATATAAAGAAGTTAATATTAACATTTTAATTGCATGAGCAGATTGTTATACCAACAGATCATGAAAAGCAAATGCATGCACACATGCACATATTTTGAAATGCTCATCCCAAAATTGTTATACCAACAAATCATGAAAAGCAAATGCATGCACATATTTTGAAATGCTCATCCCAACGGAATAAACAGAAACTTCACACATCAACACTTATATAATTTCCACTAATTCTAGTTTACTCTAGTCATGACCAAAATTGGATTTTGGACCAAATCATCACTTTCCCAGATACAAAAACACTCGTCTCACTCTTATATATGCTATTTCTGCATTGCTACAGCAACTCAAAGGACTTCCATTTTTTCAGACATGCTCAAAAAGTATCATAACTTTATTATACAGCACTGTCAAACAACATTAGAGATAATCCCTGAGAAAAATGTACTGCTTTGTGCAGCTACATGCATTTAACTGTTCTGAATACTCTATTTCAAAAATACTGTAGCTATTTTAAAAATATCGCTATTCACCCACCATACAAAGAGAAAAAGAAGGAAAGGAACAGGGGAAATATACTACATTCCTTCTTTTTCTGCATTGGGGACTGGGTTTTTAAGTTATATAAGGACCTATTTGACTACAAAGCCTTCCCACTGTACATGTTAAGCTCCAAAAAATGAGGGTGAGTGCATTAATAACAGGAATGTCCAAGAAGCAAGCGTGCAATAGTTATATCTCAGATCTCATCAATGTACAACAGTAATCCTCATGTAACTACTTGGAAAATCCTTATGCACATTATCTCAAAAGGCAACAGAATATACATACAAAAATCTCCAGTTATCCAATCTATTACAAATAATGGCCTCATAAGTGACCAGCATAACCCCAAATCAGCCACAGGGCATGGTTAGATTATTGAATTAAGACAGGACTATGTTGAGCATGGGGATGTGGTGGCGCTGTGGGTTAAACCGCAGAAGCCTATGTGCTGCAAGGCCAGAAGACCAGCCATTGTAAGATCAAATCCACACATGGACCAGTGCTCTCATCGCTTGTCCCGTCGTTGTTTAGTCGTGCCCGACCCTTTGTGACCCCATGGACCAGAGCACACCAGGCCCTCCTATCTTCCACTGCCTCCCGGAGTTGTGTCAAATTCATTCTGGTAGCTTCGATGACATTGTCCAACCATCTCATCCTCTGCGTCCCCTTCTTCCTCTTGCCTATCGCTTGTCCCAGCTACTGCTAACCTAGCAGTTCGAATCGCTTGTCCCACCTACTGCTAACCTAGCAGTTCGAATGCATGTAAAAATGCAAGTAGATAAATAGGTACCACCACGGTGGGAAGGTAACGGCGTTCCGTGTCTAGTCATGCTAGCCATGTGACCACAGAAACTATGGACAAACGCTGGCTCTATGGCTTGGAGACTGGGATGAGTACCACATTCTAAGGTTGGACATGACTGGAATAAATGTCAAGGGCTCTAAGGTTGGACACGACTGGATTAAATGTCAAGGAGAACCTTTACCTATGTTGAGCATAGTGAATATTCTTAACAAAAAATAAAGTCCAAAAATCTCATTCAAACGCGGTCTCACGCATAGTGAATATTCTTAACAAAAAAAGGTCCAAAAATCTCATTCAAACGCGGTCTCAACAAATAGAACTCCCTATCACCAATAGTTCTCTCACCTCCCATTCCTAGTTTCTGTTCACCCTTAGTCTTGGTCTCAGGAGAGCAGGGTTCAAATCCCCACTGGGTTCTGAAACCCAGGGGGTGACTTTGGACTACAGTATTCATAAAGCTCCCAATCTTATTTACCTCACAGGATTGTTGTGAGGATAAAGCAGCGAGAAAGAGAAGCATGCACGCTGTCTTGCTCTCACTGGAGGAAACGCAGAAAAATTGGATTAAATAAAGATAAGCCCTGGCCCAATGTTTTCAGGCTCCACTGATCAGTTTCCTCGCCTGTTCTGCTCTGTGACGTTCATTCCCAACACGTCGCTAGAAAAGCGGGCGAAGGGAGGAAACAAAGGCGAAGTCGCTTGCCGTTTTTAACGACTTCCAAATCCTCCCTTTTCCCGTCACTCACGCAGCGCCTACAATGAACAGCCCGGTCCCCTTTCCCGCTTCCAAGTTGCTACTTGGAAAATGTCTCCTTTACCCGCCGCCGGGACCTCGCTGAACGGGGCCTGCTGCTCTCCCACCACAGGAGCGACAGCGGCGACCTCTGTGGAGCCGAACCGGACCTCGGCGACCCGCAGCCTCTCCTCAGCCCGCCGGGGGAAGCGCAACGCCCGGCATAGGAGCAGCACAGGCCACCTCCCCATGGGGGCCGCCATGGCGGAAAGGAGGAAAAGAGCCCTTGCGTCACACGGCGCATGCGTACGGAGCGGTGCGAGGATCAAAATGCCTCGGCTCGTCCGTGTGAAGGGCGAACGCTCTTCTTAGCTTCGTTGAAGGCGTAGAATAGATAGCATGTGTTTCGTGTTCACACGAAGAGGTTGGGGGCGGGGAGCTACAGATTTGGCTGAGAAAATTGGCTTCCTTAGCCAGTAAGAGCTGCCCTGATGAGCTCTTGAAGACTCAAGCCTGTGGGTTCCTTCAATGCATCTCATATTTGGTCTTCCTGGAAATATCCCTTACATTCTCTGGGTGATATTGGGCCAGTCATGCTCAGCTAGGCCAACCTTACAGGGTGGTTATGAGGACAAAGTTGAATTGAATAAATAAAGTGGGGAGGAGGCAAGTACACAAATAAGGGGGAACACAAATAAAAGGCATGGCTTGCCTTTTTATAACCTGCCCGCAGGGATTGCGCTATCATGCCACGTGTGATAAATGTGATATGTGGAATGGGCACTGCAAATAATCACTCTTCAGAGTACAAAATTAAAGAACAGTTAGTAGTACTCTCAGAAGAAAGCAAAAGACAAAGAGTAGAAAATATGTTGAGGATGAATGAGGGGAGACCTCATTCAAATCCCCATTCTATCACGAAGCTGAACACAGTGATCTTCGGTTAACCATTATCTATCTTTCAGGGTTCTTTTGAGGACAAAAATGGAATAATGTTACATATCTTGCCCAAGTAGAGCTTCCAGAAGTTTGTGGGGTTTTTTTTTGATAAGATCTCCCTGACTCCCTCCATTGACATGGCCCCTGATCATACTGGCAGCAGCATTCTAAAAAGCAGTGCTCCTAAATTTAACTTTTTTGTGCGCATAAGACTTCTGGTTTAGCATCTAGTATATCACCAGATCCTGAAGCTGATGCTCCAATACTTTGGCCATCTCATGAGAAGACTCCCTGGAAAAGACCCTGATGTTGGGAAAGTGTGAAGACAGGAGGAGAAGGGGATGACAGAGGATGAGATGGGTGGGAAGTGTCATCAAAGTGACCAACATGAATTTAACCCAACTCTGGGAGGCAGTGGAAGACAGGAGAGCCTGGTGTGCTCTGGTCCATGGGGTCACGAAGAGTCGGACACGACTAAACGACTGAACAACAACAACAATATCACCACTTAAAAGGCCATGTCTGGGTAGCTAGCCTAAAAAATAGTTGTGCCAGACATCCATACTGTGGGTGTGCTGCTAGTAAGATCTATCAGTGCCACCATGTTTTTGTCTTTTTTCACAAGTTTTGTTTTCACCTAGAAATCTGTAAGGAATGTTTTCATTGTACTTTCTAGCACTGGCAGAGGAATGGACCAGATGACTCTTGGGGTCACTCCCTGCTCTATAATTCTGTAATTTTAAGGCATCTTCACACACAGGTATGAAAATCTGACCATTTACAGCTCCTGATTCCCAGTGGAGTCACCTGTCTGTTTTTCTCTGTGACTGAACTGAATTTTCTCACAACCCTCGCAGGTGAGGTCATGTATAACTGTGTGATCAGTGAAGGTTGTTGAATAGCCTAAGAGCTAAATGTATATTCCACCCAACATATAAACCCAACTCTTTGTAGGTTAGGACAAGTAACTGGGGTGGGAAGAAAGGTACAGTACAAGTCATTTTGCTGGGGGCAGTCTGAGATTTGTGGCCCTACAGAATTCCCTCCCCAGCTCTGCCCCTAAGTTATGACAGCAACCCTGCATCCAAATGCATCAGGCACAAACCATCTTAAAAGCCACAAGCACTGGCCTGCACATCTGAGAAGCCTATGATTCATATCTGGGTTTTGTCATTCAAATTGCATAATGGGTTATGCTTAAAACCAAAAGAGTTGTGACATAGTGAGAGGAGATTGACACTAAATCATCACTTGAATGCTCTGAATTCTTAGGCAGCTTAAACCCACAGTGGCTGATTTGGAGCACTGTGGGCATTGTCAGACATCAGCCCTGGCTAACATAGCTAATGGTGTGTAAAGCTGGAAATTCTAATCCAATGATACCTGGAGGGCCACAGGTAGCCCACAATTAGAAGAATTTTTTGAGGGTGCCTATATGAGGTTGAAAAGTTCTATCTTTCTAGTAGCTCAGGATTGATCTTCTAGTGGCTGATGAAACAGCTCTGTGGCTTTTAAAATGACTAAGTGTGCAATTCTGTCTGTCTGTCTGTCTGTCTGTCTGTCTGTCTGTCTGTCTGTCTCTGTCTGTCTGTCTATCTATCTATCTATCTATCTATCTATCTATCTATCTATCTATCTATCTATCTATCTATCTATCCTTTCTCCTTAGAAAAAAGACCCAAGGTGGCTTACAGTATTTAAAGACAATATTTAAGAACAAAACAATGAGTATACACAGGTTGCATACATCATTAAAAGGCAATATTTAAAGCTAAAAACACTAAGAATGGATTTCAGGCTACCAGGATTTACTATGGTTCTTTTGTTTTGCTTTGCTTTTTTTGTTTGTTTGTTTGGTAGATACTACAGATTTCCCAACTGGAGCCCGATGCATAAGACATGCATCTACAATTAAAGAAAGCAGATTCTGTAAATTTGTTTTGAGCCCAGTGTAGGAAGTCTTCTTTGGAAAGAAAAGAACGTAATGACATGTTAAAAACAACCATAACTGAGTTGAATGGTGCATTTGGATTCAGGGTACTGTATCATCCTACCATTGCTCAGTTAGTGAAGGCTTCAGGACATCATTGTATTAATTCTCCATAAATTTTCCAAGCTGCAGTGTAGCATAACTGAATCAACCCCCTAGTTCTTACAAAACAAAATGGCAGTGTTGTGTGTGCAGACAAAACAAGGAACATGAGATTCTCAGACTGTATCATAGGCCTTACTGGATCCTCCTTCTTCCTGACCATTGCACAGCAGGCTTAGGAGGGACCAGATATGCAAAATGGGTTTTGTTTTTGTTTTGACACTATAACTGTCAGAATACCCCAGCCATCATAAGACCTTGTATATTTGGGAATGTATAGAGTTGTTTTGTTCTTAATTCTTTGCTTAATTCCCATTAAGCAATCAAGAGTGGAAAATGTTTGATGATCTTTTGCAAACCATCTAGAAATTTATTAACAGATCCCAGTCCATCTTCTGCCCAACCCCAAAGCTTGAGGTGCTGTTTGTACTGTCGTTGCATAAAGCTCCCAGCCAGGACTCTAACTTTTTTTTTCTAAGTTGTGCCCACTTTTAGGCACCACCAATTTTCAGATGTTCCCACCACACTCACTTGCTATCTCAGGTCAATTGCTGGTCCCAGTATAGTTCTAGGAATCACCCACCCATCAGAGATAATAGCTCTTCTAACCTATGTCATGACCAAATCTATGGCTACTGCTATATGGTCAAATATTGTGGGATTAGCTCTTCTTATAAAACAGGGGAATTCAAAGTATTTTTTTACTCACCACATGTTGTAAAGACTGATTCAAATTGGTCTAGCCCTTTTTGCTCCCTAAGTGTTTTTTTTTCCCTATGCCACTGAGGGGCTTCTACTTTTTCATGCCAGAACTCAGATGGGTTTCCCCCCCACATGGTTAGTTGTGAGATATTCCTGTAAAGATGGGGGACATGTCTAGGTAATGTTTATGTGATGAAGGCAATGGGGAGAGGGTGATATTTAGGACTGAGAGAACACCCCATTGCATTCTTTCCTCACCCCTTATCAACCTTCATTTTTTTAAAAAAATGCTTACATGCAATTAGCACTAGATCACCCTACTACCCTATTGTTGGTTCCTCATTATTGTTTCCTGAATTTATGCTCCCACCAATTCCCCGTCAGGTCAGAGGTGGAAAGGAAGGAAAGAAGGGGAGGAGCTGTGGGCTGGAATGCAAATTGCATTGCATCCAGTATGAATGGTGAATTTTTGAATCAACCTGCAGCCACTGTGTGAGCACCCGACAGTGATTTCAAACGTAATACAGGTTGCGAATCAAATTGCAGTAAAACAAATTGCTGTGATTCAGCTTTCCAGTGTAGCTGCACCGTATGATAAGACAGAAACCAGTGGTCACGCTATGGGTTAGCGATTCTTGGTTCACTTCTCTCCTTGATGCAACCCTGCAAATTTGTAAAACAATTAGAGGTAGCGATGAGAGTTTCAGTTTCAGAACTGCAGTGCTGGGATAATTTGTATAAGTCTCTGAAAAGGTAAAATAAAACCAGTGAGGAAAGAGCCCAGTATACTGTGCTTGCAGCAATACCTCACGTTATGCAACCTTCAATTTTTTTTTAAAAAAAATTCTTACATGCAAGTAGCACTAGATCACCCTACCACCCTATTGCAGCCACTGTGTGAGCACCGACAGTGATTTCAAACGTAATACAGGTTGCGAATCAAATTGCAGTAAAACAAATTGCTGTGATTCAGCTTTTTGAATCAACCTGCAGCCACTGTGTGAGCACCCGACAGTGATTTCAAACGTAATACAGGTTGCGAATCAAATTGCAGTAAAACAAATTGCTGTGATTCAGCTTTCCAATGTAGCTGCACCCTATGATAAGACAGAAACCAGTGGTCACGCTATGGGTTAGCGATTCTTGGTTCACTTCTCTCCTTGATGCAACCCTGCAAATTTGTAAAACAATTAGAGGTAGCGATGAGAGTTTCAGAATTGCAGTGCTGGGATAATTTGTAGTATAAGTCTCTGAAAAGGTAAAATAAAAACAGTGAGGAAAGAGCCCAGTATACTGTGCTTGCAGCAAAACCTCAGTTATCTGGCACTGTTATCTGGGAGACTTTCTGACTGCAGGCTGTGCTGTGGCTCCAAGCGCCTCTTTGCTTTCATTGTCTTAGAGATCGTGTTCAATAAGCGCCTCTTTGCAAAGCCAAACTCAGCCCCACGCCTGCCTCTTTGATACCTGAAGCGTCAAGCCATTGGCATTTAGGTAAGCCATCAAGTGAGAGCACGTGTCACTGTGTTGTCGCAGTAGGAATTAAACCCAGATCTTGTCCACAGTTTTAACTGGGTACTTGT